TCCCGCGCTCCTCCCGGCGCCGCTTCCTCGGCGGAGCGGAGCCCGCGCCGTCCCGCTGCCGCCGGCCGCTCTTCCTCGGGAACAGATCTGGGAAGCAGGGAAGAGGCTGAGGGCGCCGCCGGGGCCGCGAGCGGCAGCCGCCCCGCGCCGGGAGCCTCAGTGCGTTTACTTTGAACCAAAATCACGTTTTTTTCAGGGGTTTTGGGGTCATCACGGGCTCCCGGGCGCGGCGGGGGGCGCGGGGCCGCGCGGCGCTCACCCGCGTCCGGCTCCTCTCCCAGCTCCTGCCGGTAGTACTCGGCGTCGCTGCCGTCCGACGAGGAGGCCGCGGCCTCCGGCGGCTCCGGCGCGCCAGGGTCCTCGGCGTCGCTGTCGCCGTCGCGGCGCATCCCGGCCAGGCTCTTCCTCCTGCAGCGGAGGCCGCGGATCGGGAGGCCGTGGGGTGGGAGGCCGTGGATCGGGAGGCCGCCCACGGGGAGGCCGCAGGGTGGGAGGCAGTGGATGGGGAGGCCACGGATGGGGAGGCCATGGATTGGGAGGCCACAGGGCTGGGAATCCAGGGATTGGGAGGCTGTGGATCAAGAGGCCGTGGATCGGGAGGCCACGGATTGAGAGGCCACCCACTGGGAGGCTGTGGATTGGGAGGCCATGGATTGAGAGACCGTGCGGTGGGAATCCGGGGATTGGGAGGCCATGGAACAGGAGGCTCCGGACTGGGAGGCCGTGGATTGGGAGGCCGTGGATCGGGAGACTCTGGATGAGGAGGCTGCAGATCGGGAGGCCGTGAATTGAGAGGCTGTGGGGTGAGAATCTGGGGAKTGGGAGGTTGTGGACTGGGAGGCTGTGGAACAGGAGGCTCTGGACTGGGAGCCCATGGATTGGGAGGCTGCGGATCAGGAGGCTCCGGACTTGGAGGCCGCGGCTCGGGAGGCTCCAGACTTGGAGGCCATGGCTCGGGAGGCCCTGGATGAGGAGGCCGCGGCTCGGGAGGCTCCGGACTTGGAGGCCGCGGCTCGGGAGGCTCCAGACTTGGAGGCTGTGGATGGGGAGGCCCTGGATGAGGAGGCCGCGGCTCGGGAGGCTCCGCGGGTACCTGTGGGCCTCGCGCTGCCGCCGCTTGCGCTCCACGTCCTGCTCCTGCTTCCTGCGCCGCTCCGCGCGCAGCCGCAGCCTCTCCTCCCTGCGCGCCAGCAGCGCCTGCAGCTCGGCCTCCGTCTTGTGCACTGCGGGCACGGGGGGGCAGCGCTGAGCCGCGGCCCCCCCGCATCCCGGGGGGGATCCCAGAGCCCCATCCCAGAGCCGCATCCCAAGCCAAATCCCGAGCTGCATCCCCGAGCCGCATCCTGGAGCCCCATCCCAGAGCCGCATCCCCGAGCTGCATCCCAGAGCCACATCCCGTAGCCCCATCCCAGAGCCGTATCCTGAGCTGCATCCCTGAGCCACATCCCGTAGCCCCATCCCAGAGCCGCATCCCCGAGCTGCATCCCAGAGCC